CGTGGCTGGAGAAGACAATAACGAAGGCCTTCAAGACCAGAAGATAAAGCCAGCATGACATGCTCTTTAGTAACCCACGGCCGTTTCCGCTTTTTGCATGCATCAACTGAAGCCTGAAGGAGGCGACCAGCCATGAGCCCTTGACGTGGGTTTGGATTGGAATTGAATGGTCGGGGATGTGGGATGCCGCGGTTTAATCTTCCATGCAGTCGATCTCATCATAGAGAAGTCGAGAAGGCACAGCTGATCGTTGCTTGGCTTTGTGGCGAATTATTTGGGGGAGACGGAGCGACGCTAAGGGGTTGGGTAGGAGAGGCGCCATGAAGTGGGGGAGAGGAGGCTGGGGCATTGGCATAGCGGATGGGTAGGAGAAACTGAGAAAGGAGAAGTGTGCGAGTGTCCAGATTAGATCGAACGGCTGAGATTTTAAAGGTGACATTCTACTTGAAGTATATACTACCAGTATATTTGATCTAACGGTGTAAATTCGTCTGATCTTCCTCCCAATTATTCTAGAGAAAATTCGATCCATAGCGCAGGAAAGAAATCGGTACCAAAAAATAGCACATAAATTTTTCACTTTCGGCGAGAAGCACAGGCCACCGTTTTTCCTTCGTCCCGTAGCACTTCTGTCGCATTGTGAGGTAACGGCGTTCGATCGGAGTGGAGAAAAATATCGTTGGACTCATTTGCCCTTCGTCTCTTCTCCCTTATTCCCCATTTCCTTGCTCTTTCCCGTTCATTCTCTTTATTTTCTGTTCAGCAAACCCTATCAAGATATAACATGCTAGCTTTTTGATTGGTTCCCCATTCAAAATGTTCTTTAATCTCATCAGTAAGCGCAATCAAGTTGAATTTATCTCCATCAACAACTATGTCCCATTCCTTCCCATCGCAAACCACTTCGACATCACCCTTTCGAGTATATGATTGCATAGTAATGCATACCCAATATGCCGAAAAGGGATCAACCCTGCCATAGCAAGATTGATTCCTATAGTTAGCACACACATTCCTAACCCCTATTTCAAAGAACAATGTGATTTGTGATTTGGTTGTAGAACAATCTTACCAAAGAGGGATGTCGTCTGGAGCAACCATCTAAACAGTCTATCAAAAAGAGTCTAACAAAAACACATACCTGCTTCAGAAACCACAAAAAACAAACAAAGAACATTTCTTCAGATCTAGGTTGCCCCAGTCAAAAACCCAACCACAAATTCGTCATTGCACATACCGTGAGAGAGCCTTGAGCATGCAGCCGCGATATAGCCGCCAGCCGCTAGCAGTCGCCGTCTCCCCTCTGCTTGCCGCCGCCGGCACCGCCGCCGCCGTCGCCGTCACCTTTCCCCTTTCTCTTCACCTCAAGCAGTGATACCAGTGCAGGACAAATTGAGTGGGCCTTGCTATACAGATAGAAGAAGGGCAATTTGGTCTTTCTATCTGTTGACTAACAGCAAAACACTTCACTGGATGGATGAATGCGACGGAAGTGCTACGGGACGAAGGAAAAACGGTGGCCTGTGCTTCTCGCTGAAAGAGAAAAATTTGTGTGCTATTTTTTGGTACCGATTTCTTTCCAGTGCTATGGATCGAATTTTCTCATTATTCTGCACTATAAATTGAATAGGGTATATTTGTCTTTTTATCTATTTGCATGGAGCGTAATTTTGTAAATGCGCGTTTCTCACTTAGTCAGATCCGGCCTTTAGGCGCTCAGTCAAAGCGAATTTTTCTCGAAGCCGTGCGCATGGGCGACCGCCGTCGCCGACTGCCTCTGTGAGCACGCCGCGCTGCGCGGCTGTCGACAACCACAATCGGCGCCGCCGCCATCGTGAATCGATTCGATTTCCCTCCCCCTTTCTTCATCGAAAACCTAGTTCTTCCAAAAATCCCCAAATCATCGGGTCTGCGGGAGGCAGCACCGGCGGGCTGCGGAGGTTTGCGGGAGGCGGCGGGGCAGTTCATGGGGCTCGTCAACTCAGCCAACAACCGTAACGTGACCAATCACCTCTTCGCCGTGGAATTCGACACCATCCTCAACTTGAAGTTCAACGACATAAGCGGCACCTTGTCTGCGGGAGGCGGCAGGCATGCAGAGCTGCAGAAGGGCGCCGGGAAGAAAGCGTGCAGCTGCGGCAGCTCAGAGCGGCAAGGGCAGCTTGGCGGCAGCATGTGGCATCGGCAGGGTGGCATAATTAGCATAACTAATGTAATTAGCATGGTTATATGCCAATATAACTAATGTATGAACAATTTTGTGACTACTATCCATTCAACTCCCACGTTCCAGTCTTCCAAAGAAGGCCTTGAAACAAGAATGTTCATACTCCAAAACCATTAACGTCGTTTCGAACTTTACACGATATATTAGAGAATCCAATTTAACAGCACAAATTTTTGGAGCAATGCAGTATAGAGTTGGGCTGAAATAAACAGCTGTTACAAGCTCAAATTACGCGGATGACGAGATCCAGAAAAACACAACCGAAGGAAAATTCATCCGATGGAAATAAATCTCTATTTTAAATGACTAAACAACCCTTTTTCAATTTTTAATAAATACCAAATCTACCCTATCATATACTGGTAGTATATACTTCAAGTAGAATGTACTGTAAAAGTTCTCTAACTACAATGCAGCTTTGGGTCTTAACTATATAGAAAGAAGGGATGAGAATAGTCCTTGGATTATATTGGCGAGCCGATATATAGGAATGGGAGACAACAGGGAATCATGCTGATGCTCCCATCACTGTCTTTTCCATTCACTGTCAAAGCACATAACTGTCTGTCAAACATCGTGTTTAGGGTAAAATATGCATCAGCGGCATCCAGGGATTACTAGGGAAGTACGCTGTCTGAACTTATGCTATATATCAAAGAAGGGAGTGCAATCCTTCAGTGACCTATGGCTATTGTGACGCAGAGAGAAGACAATTGTACTGTATTGATATCGAGTATAGTATCTACATAGAGCTTTAGTATTCGTTCCAAGCCAGGGGATAAGAGAGGTATAAAGAAATTTGTGTTTATAGTGGGCCTCATCTCTGGGGATAAGAGAGGTATAAAGTTATAAACACACTAATGGTATAATGACCGATTCCAACCTCTCACCATTATTTACTATTTCAAGAAAGATTGTGATTTACCTTTTTCCCTATCAAAAAAAAATGTACCTACTTTAAAAGGTATTATGGCCCATTAAGATAAGAAAACCAATTATACACAATCGTAAGAACACATCTTGGATGTGCAAATTTTAGTTGCTTGACAAATAGCAAAAATCAATATATTCCTAACAAGTGAAATATAGCAAAACTTACATTTTATGTTTTGCTTGTTGTTTTACTTATTTCAGTGAACATTCTTGCAGCTTGGGCTTTTGGACGGCTGGACCTGTCAATCAACATTGAAACTAACATACATTTACAGTTGTACACAATAACATGCCATGTGCCATCATCAATGCAATGACATAGTTACGTTGTGTACGTCACCACCCAGCTGATTCTAAGTTCAATTCTAATTTTAGCACTACATTTACGACATCCAGCTATCGGACCAATATATTCATTTGGAAGGTGAGCACAAAAAAATGGCTAGCTTTTTTTTTCAATAATGGAAGCTTTATTAAAACACCGTCAAATACATCGAGATGATACATTTCAACTGAGTCCACTCCTGGCCTCTGCATGAGATGCACACAGAAAAAAAAAAAGCTCTAGCTAGATTGGATGCCATATGTTTTCTAGCTTTTCTAAAATGTGATGGATAACACCACCGATCATCCTTCTCATCTCTAGACCGTGTAATAAGTTTGTCCATCTCTTACAAAGTTAGGATACCAAATGCCAACATGTGTGTAGATAGACTGTATATATACAACACATGCATGCAGCCCACCATAGGAAAGGGAGACACCGAGAAATCTGGATGTGCTGCACGGTTCATGATGAAATAGGACACCTCATTTGCCTGCACGGAAGGTGTAGCTAGGTTTTGTTCGGGTCAATTAGCCACATTCTACTCAGTTGCCAGAAGCAAAAGATGACTCGGTTTCAAAAAAAAGAAGCAAAAGATGACTCGGTTTCAAAAAAAAAGAAGCAAAAGATGACACTTTATGCAGCATGGCAGAAGACATGCTATGCCAAATGCCACCCCATGTATATGACATGCTATGCCAAATGCCACCCCATGTATATAGGTAGACACCAGACAGTTTAATCTACAGTCCGCCATATGGGGAAGGAATTTAATTAGAGGACTTTTACGGTACAATATACTGCAAGTATATATAATCTAACTGTGTAGATTGACACTACTACACGTGAGATTTTCCTGGACGCCGGCTCCATTAGCTTCCAGGCGGGCCATAAGTGGCTCCGCATGGAACAAACCGAAGGCCGGCGCCGGGGTTAGGGCCGCACGGGATAACGCATTAAGCCGTGCAGCCCACGTAAGCCGACCGTCTGCGATGGTGGGGGGGGCATATAAGCCCCAGCCCGACCGTTGCCATGATATGCTGGCGTTTTCTCTCTTCTAAACCTCCACAAATTATGGGGGAAGGTTTTCGACCTCAAATCTTTGATTGGGTTCTATATAAAAAGTAGAGCTTGTTCTCCTCCTTCATTTGCTTCCATTTTTGTCAGTTTTCGTTGGTGCAATGCGAAGAAACTTTCACTTTTATAAATGGAATAGTGTAGGCACTTGTTTGTTTTTTTTTTATTTTTTAGCTAATATATAATAATTCCATTACATGTTTTTAAAAGTATTTAGTAGCTAAATTGAAAAGTTGGGTTTACCTCTATTAAAATTATTTTCATTCAGATGAAAGGACGATTTTTTTAATTTTTTAGAAATGGACAATATTTTATTAATGCTTAAAATTCCTGTACGGTGGAAACTTTTAATTTACTATGTGATTAGTTCCCTCCATTTAAATACACTCATTTTTGAATCGGGCATGGATGTATTAATGACAAGCTGTATTGTAGGTCATGGATCGGACATGGATGTACAACACGAAAAGAGCTCATCCTACGTTCTTGAAGGAAGCAGGCAAATTTGTTGAGCTGGTAAAGGCACATGTTGTGAGGGAGAATATGAGGGGCATTTTTTGCCCATGCAAAGATTGCAAGAATGAAATTTTGCTGCAAGATCCGAATGAAGTATTGTCGCACAACATAGAGCGAGGATTTAAGAAGGGTTACGAGATATGGACTTTTCACGGGGAAGTCGGTGGTCATAACGAAGAGTTTGATGATTTCTGCTTTGATGATACAGAAAATTTTATATTCGAAGACATGTCACAGGGAACCATCCCGGAATGCGGTGGCTCTGGTATAGACAATGTAGGTATTGATTTTGATCTGGAAGATATGTTACGGCACGTTGAACCAGATGTCCTAACTGGTAGAACACGAGGGTTGGACAATTGGGAAGCGTTGGAAAAAGCAGCGAAGGAGCTTCGTTACGACGAAGCGAAAGGATGCGACAAGGACTATACGGTGTTGCGCTCGGTGCTTGAACTTCTCAGATTGAAGGCCAAACATGGATGGTCGGACACTAGCTTCAATGATTTGATGGATCTTTTGAAAGTTATGCTTCCTAAGTCGAACCTCCTGCCGACGAACACATATCAAACGAAGAAACTGATATGTCCATTATCTCTATGTGTTCAGAAGATCCATGCATGTGAAAATCATTGCATACTGTACCACAAGGAATTCGCGGATTTAGACTCTTGCCCAACATGTGGGATGAGTCGGTACAAGACAGGCAACGGAGTCTCCGATGGAGAGGTGGTCGACCAAGATGCACTGGTGGATGAGAAGAAAAAGATTCCCAGCATGGTGATGTGGTACCTGCCAGTGAAAGATCGCCTGAAGCGGCTATTTTTGAATCGTACCGATGCCGAGTTGATGAGATGGCACCAAGAGGGTAGGAAAAATGACGGTAAGATCCGACACCCCGCCGATGCTCGACAGTGGAAAAACTTTGATGCACTACACCCGGAATTTGCAAAGGTCCCGAGAAATGTAAGGTTTGCCTTGAGCATGGACGGAATGAACCCGTTCGGTGACCTAAGCAACACACACAACACCTGGCCAATGCTGCTAACCATGTATAACTTGCCTACATGGATTTGCCAGAAGCGAAAGTATATTCTTTTGTCTGTCCTTATACAAGGTCCAAAACAGCCTGGGATTAACATTGATGTGTTTATGGAACTATTGATGGAGGACATGCAAGAACTGTGGAAGGAAGGGTTACGAATGTGGAACGAGTACCGTAAGGAACATTTTACTCTATGCGCCATCATATTCGTTACGATCAACGACTTACCGACGAACTTTTCGCTCTCAGGCCAGTTTAAGGGGAAATTCAGATGTCTCATATGTATCGACAAGACGTCGTACAAGTACCTCACCTCCTCAACCAAGGGTGTGTACATGCGTCATCGTCGGTCTTTACCTCTGTGGCACAGGTGGCCTGCGATGGCCAGATTATTTGACAATACAGTAGAGAATGATCTAGCTCCTGAAACACGAACTGGTGGCTCTGTCTTCGAGCTGACAAAGGACATTAAGGTTGTGTTCGGCAAGCCAAAGAAGAAGGCCGTTAAGAGGAAGAAACGTACGGATTAGGAAAAAATAGATGCACCTGTAGAGGAAAGTAACCTTCCTTTCAAGAAGCACTCAATATTTTTCAGGTATCTGGATTACTGGAAAGACCTGGAGGTTCGTCATTCCATCGACGTAATGCACCTTGAGAAGAATGTGTTTGATAGCACCATTGGCACTTTATTGGACATCCGAGTAAGACGAAAGATGGGTTGAAGTCCCGTACCGACCTCGTCAATTTGGACATAACGAATGAGCTTCACCCAAAAGAGCTGCCAAATGGGAAGATCGATATTCCTTCGGCGTGCTACTCACTAACTCTAGAAGAGAAAAAAGTTTTATGTAGATGCTTGCATAGTGTGAAAGTCCAGACTGGTTTCTCTGCAAATGTTAGAAAACTTGTATCTTTGAAAGATTTGACCATCTCTGGGTACAATGCTCATGACTGTCACAAGATGTCAACAGTCTTCCTACCAATTGCTATAAGAGCGGTCAAGCCATTTCACACTCGGTTAGTGATAACAAAGTTGTGCTACGTTTTCAATCGAGTATCACAGAAGGTTTCTGATCCTGAAGAGTTAGGCCCCCTTCAAATATTTGCAATCGAGACAGCATGCCAGCTTGAGATGTTTTTCCCTCCAGCTTACTTCAACATGATGGAGCATCTGATTCTCCACATCGTACCTCAGATTATCGAGATTGGTCCCTTATACCTACACTAGATGTGGGCGTACGACAGGTACATGTCGGTCCTGAAAGGTATGTCCGTAACCGAGCTCCTCCGGAGGGATCAATGATAGAAGGGTACACAACTGAGGAGGTGTGTCACGTCCCAAAACGACCCTAAAATATATCCTTTAAATTATGCCTAGAATAATTAAAATCCAACTAAAAGCCTCCAAAATTAAAATGTGCAAAGTTAAAAGTCAAACAAGGCTTGGAAGATTTTTGTATATTTCCTAAAAGCCTAAAATGTGTAAATAAATTTTAGTGGAATTTTCAGAGCACAAATAATAATTATCAAGAAATAAACAAAGTTAAAATAATTTTATAAAATGAAAAACCCTAAAACAGTCATTCCCTCTATTTGGGCCGAATCCGGCCCATCTTCCTCCCCCTCTCTCTCTTCCCCCGAGGCCCACTCGGCCCCCTCCCCGTGCGCGCGCCGCTAACGGGCGGGCCCGCATGCCACCCTCGCTACGGGTGGGGCCCACCCGTCATCCCCCTCCTCTCGCCGCTCCCGCCGCTCCCTCCACTCGTGCCTAGCGCCGCCGCCGCCGCCAAATCCGCCGCGCCCAGCCGCTCCCGTTCAAAATTGAATGGGGGGAATTATTCCCCCCGATTCCCTCTCCCTTTCCCCCCATTTTCCCCTCTCTCTGTCTCCCTCGGATTCGCTTGGAAACCGCCCCCGTAATCTCGTCGGTGCCATTGATGGCGGCCAGGTCTCCTACGCCATTTCCTTCCCCTCCGGCCGCCCTCTCAAACTCCCAACCCTATATAAACCCTCCCCGAGCTCCCCACCACCGTTTCTGCCACTCGCCGCCCCTTCACCTCGTCGGATTCGCGCTCGCGCCGTCGCCCTCTCTTTCCGCCGTCGCCGCCGAGCTCCGGCTGCTCTCCGTCGCCACCTCGGTCCTCCACCTGCCCTGGCGCCGCCTCCCTCGGCTTCGCCGCATCCTCGCGGACCTCGTCCACCCCTCCATTTCGATCGCCGACCGCCGGAACGCCGACAACCCCGTCGACCGGAGCCGCGCCACCGTCTCCCTCCGCTAAGGCCGCCTCTTCCATCGCTGCCGTCACCCAGGGTTAGCCAAGGACCGCCGCCTCTTTTCACCCTCCCCTTCCCCTCTCTCGGCAGCCGCTCCGCGCCTATGGTCGCCGCCAGCGACCATAGGGGTGCGAGCGCCGCCCTCCGCCGGCCGTGCCGACCTGGCCGCCTCCGGGCGCGCCGTGTGGGGCCCGGCCGTCAGTCGCACGCGTCCTTGGGTGCGGCTGACGCATGGGGCCCACGGCACCGGTCGGTGTGAGCCTGGGTGCGCCCGGTCCACCGTGGACCGTGAGGCTGCCGTATGGGCCCCACTCCCGTGGCCCGGTCCGCGCGCCCCGTCCTCTCGGCTGACGCAATAAACTATATTTTTAATTAAAATTTAAATGAAGAAATTCACAAATATTCACATTAAGAACATATAAACTTCTAATGGCCATATCTTGGTCATTTGAACTCGAAATTAGACTGTTCAAGGCTCTAATTTTTCCTTAAGAAGTCAAGAACCCATTTTTGTGCTTTGTTTCTATTTGTTATATGGAGTTTATTAGAGTAAAAGCTTTTTTCTTTCCGTTGGTCGTGTAGACGTTGTAGCTTTGGAAGATCCGCTCTATGTGGAGGTTGAAGCCGACGTTTGGGAAAGCGAGCAAGGCAAGTCACATCTCCTTTGAACATATTGTTGTCCTATGCTTTAAAATTATTTTGTTTTAAACTAATGCATTATCGCTTTATTTAAATTCCTGCGTTATCACTGTTTTACTTAGCCATGCCTATTTACCTTTGTTATGACCTTATTATTATTGTTATTGTTATTACTACCTTGTTCACCCGAGAATAACCAAAACCCCACTGGTGTGTACTGTATAATGGTCTTGCTAGTACCAATTTTAGGTAGATGCTTCGCCATTTAAATTAGACAAACTTTAGGTGCTTTTATAACTCTAGACTTTGGGAGTTCTCATATCATTTGTGCATTATGGAATGGTTGGCTTATGTGGAATGGAGTACACACACACCCTCCTCTATTCAAACCCCCCAAAATGGTTTTAGGCTAGGCTCGAGGTGCATGGTTTTGATAGTCGCACCTCGGCCACTATAAGGACCGGTCTTCGGGCCTCTATTGTAAAGCACTACCGTACTTCCACATGTCTAGTGGGTAAGGCGTAGTTTGTGGCTTAGTCTGGTCATAGGAAAAAGTACACGGATAGAGATGGACGAAGTCGGGGCTCGATGGACATCTCTAGGGCAAATGAAGGCTACACAAGCTACGGCCCAGTAGTTGAGATGTCATGGCACAGGGCCGGTGTCCTGCTACTAGGGGCTCAACCTTGATTACCTGTCCCGGGATTCCGGCTGTAGCCAGGATTGGGTCGGTACTCTTGTTTATGGCTAGGATGGGTTGGGAACTATGTCACATCTTCCGTCCGTATGCCGTGGTGGTATGTGGCGCGTGTTTGCACGTGAGGAAGATGTGTCTTGTGGGTAAAGATGTACACCTCTGATCAGAGTATAATCTATTCGAATAGCCACGCCCTCGGTTATGGGCAAGCCTAGCAATGTACCCAAGTTAGTGGTTTAATTCTTAAAACTTGCTTAACAACTAAAATGTGAAATGGTTGGCCTAGGTTGGCTTCGGATGAGCTAGGACCTGGGTCTGGTTGCCAGTTCGGTCTAAATCATCATAGGACTTGAGTTAAGGCAGGTTTGTGTGGGTTCACGGCCTTGATTAATAACACTGTATAGCTCTAGGATCGTCTTTACAAAATAGCCCTGAGCAACTAAAGGTCTTCTAAATGCTGTTACTGCAAATCCTAGCCCCTATACTATAACCCCTTGTACGTGTTACTGCACCGACCACCTCCCCCTCGCTGCCGGCCTCAATGACCCCACTGGCCTCCTCGCCGAGCACGTCCCCAAGACAGCGCCTACGAACTACCCCAAGCCGGCGCCGACATCTCCCCCAAGCCGCCGGTGACATCTCCTCCAAGCAAAGGCCAGCCACCTCCACCCCAAGCCATCGGCCTCCTCCTCCCCAAGCCGCCGGTAAGTGTTTAGCTGTTGATTTGTGATGATTTCCGCCAGCCTCAATGATTTGTGATGTTAAGCTGAAATATGTGATATAATGTGATGTTGATGCCGATTTAGATGATTTGTGATGTTGATGCCGATTTAGATGATTTGTGATGTTGATGTCGATTTAGATGATTTGTGATGATATTTAGATGATTTGTGATGATGTGTGATGTTGGATAGATGTTGAGATGATGGTGATATTAAGGATGTGCTTTTAGAGTAATTAAAGGGACTTTGTTAATAAATGGACTTCGCTACATTATGGAATTTGTGATGGAGTTGTGAGTTTTACATTTTAGAGTATTTATGATTTAATTAAATGGACTTTGTTATAGTATGGTATTTGATATGGAATCGTGATTCTAGGGGATGTTAGTTACATATGTGGTTGACTATGATTTAATTAATTAGTGAGATGGAATTTTATTATTGATGATAGAGATGTCAATTGTATTATTGATTTTTCTTTGTTTTGATGATATGATGGCTATGTTTGTGATGTGAATAGATGACCTTTGTTAATTTAGGATAAATTTTTATTCACGTTACATCTATGAATTTTGTTGATTAGATCGATGGCTAAATATGTGCGAATAGATGACCTTTGTGAAATTAGGTTAATTCAGTGCATATAAGTACGTTATCATGCGGATTGCTATAATACGAAGTGTTCCGGTTTCCAAGTTGGCTTGGTCAGGTTAGTTCCTGGACGGAACCGACCAATGCACATTGGCAATCACAACATTACGTTAAGAGGTTTAGTGCAATATGTCTAGACCTTAGGGGTTTGGTTTCCTGTGTCTTGTACATACATCGGCCTCGTCGACAGATGTTTAGCGACAATGTGAGCAATGTCGAGTGGGATACCGATGGTGAGTCGAGACAACTGCACTGGCCTTCTTGAACATAGATGTGTCCGGTTGGGCCCAGATGGCACGAACAATCCCCCTCATGAAGAAGCTGTCGGAAAGGAACCGGCGTCGAGCAAGGAATCGTGGCGCACACCGAGCGACCTGTTTCAGCTAGAACTAGCACAAATGTAAACTCAACGACCTAAGGATGATCCGGATTATATTCATATCGAGCAGGCGGTGATAGTTGAATCATGTCCAATGACTTAAGCATTGTTAACATTCCCCGTCCTAGCGGTCTAATGATTTAATCGTGCAGATGGCTACCTGTCGTTGCTTAACCGTGCAGATAGCTACCTGTCGTTGGTCGAAACGAAATGCCGTCAGGGCTGAACCTGAGTCGGACACCGCCACCTCGGGACCACAGCCAACGGACACGACGACGAGTGCTAGAGCACGTCCAAAGAAAAAACATGGCGATAGGAGCAGGAACCTGATGCCGAATGAGACGTACTACATTGCTGCTCTCAACGATGATGGCAAACCCGTCGAGCCACAACATGTCATGGCGAAGTTTAGCACTGCATGCAGCACGCTGGCAAGACTTCATGGGCCTCTCAACATGGACGAGTGGAAGAACGTTAGCATACACATCAAGAACTTAATGTGGGAAGGTCTGCAGGAGCACCTCATTTATCAGCCAGGGTCAGAGGCACTTAGCAGGAATTTTGCACTTCAAACAATTTCCCATCACTGGCGACAGTGGAAGTTGGACATGAACACCCAATGTGTTCAGAAGAATAAGACTCCATTTGAACAATGGGGCACCATTTCGAGAGACGAGTGGGACAAGTTCGTGGCCAAGATGACAACGCCTGAAGCTCTAGAAAGGAGGAAGAAGATGTCGGACCTGGAGAAAAACATATATCCGCACAGATTGGGGTCAAGTGGATACGCTGGTCACGAGAAGAAATGGTGAGCTAGGGAGGATAAGTTTGCAACTGAAGGCAAACCTTTGATGGTGCAGCCCCTA